TTGTGCAACTTTGGCAAATAGATTCAAGTGTTTCATGAACATTTTTTTTTATTATTTAAAAAAATCAATATGAACTGTAGTGGCCATGATTTAAATACGGAGGCTGCATCCAAGAAATAAAGATTTTTCCATTCAGGCCTGGAAAATACTTAAACTAAACTCTATTCATCTTCAGACTTTGTAGTAATCCTGGTAAATACATGAGGTCATCCTAGGTTTCTATTTCAATTCAAAATATTTATTCATCCCACTTAAAGAGGCACGTAGAGCATACATAATAATTAATAAAACATAAAATACATAAGTAGAAAGAAGGAGCAAATGGGAATATGCATTAGCAAGGTGCAAATGGGAAATGAAGTAAATAAGTCCTTGTGCAACTAAAGTCCTGTGGAATGGGGCGATGTATGTGTATAAAGGCTGGGTATTTGGGGCGTTATGTGAATGTATGTATCCCTGTAACTGTTATTTGCTGCTGTTGTTACCCTCCTCAAATGGAGGTAATTTAGAAGCAAAGTCTAAAACCAAATCTTATATGCATAGTAAACAAATCCGAACTAACTCTCTGAATGAATTTCTGAAGTAAGTAATGGCCATATTCAGCTATGTTAAGTTTTCTAGTTAACACTAAATAGACATGAATACAGACATTAATCTATTGATAAGAAGTAATAAATGACACAGATGTTTTATTGGTATCATAAAACCCCCATGGATCTGTTAATATGTTTGGCAGAAGTGATGAATGATCTCATCTTATGTTTCTGCATTTATTTAGTCTTTCTGCAGCCTACAGCCAAGTCTATGGTGACTAATAGTCACAAATTGTAACTAAACATTTCCTACAGCATAAATTAGAAAAACGGAAATAAACTGAATTTAATCACCATTTGCTGAGTTTATTACAGAATATTTAAATGAGCAACCAGTATTTTTCAGAGTACCAATTATCTGTGACTGAATGTTAAACTAGAAGAATCGGGTCTTGAGGAACTTACGTCTATATTGTCCACGTCCAGAATCTTAGAGTGGAATTGAAGTCCCATAGCTTTAGCTTGCTGAATAGGATGAGCAAGCTGGCTGTATGTCTGTAAACCAATGGACAAAGAAATAGATGATAAACAGCATTCTTAAAACCCATTTTTGTAGGAGTTGCACATTCTCAGTAGATGTTGGTCCAAAGATGAACTATTTCATAATCGTCTTTGGCAACAGAGGACCTCCAAGCTGATGTCCTCACCGCTTCATAGCACCAGTCCTTCAGTACCTCCAGATCCCCTCTGATCATGGCCTGTATAACAAAACAGTGTTTAGACATGTTTGAAGATCTTTGTTTCCAAAAATCCATACTTTTCCAAGTTCTTTTTACAGATGTTGCATTTAATCTCTTTCACTTAAAACATATAAAGAAACATTTCAACATGAATTTATTAAATGTCAGGCAATAAATATGGATAATGAAACGACTATGGAAGGACAAAATGATGAGGTCCCGTTTGGCCACAGATCGTATTGAAGCTGTTTAATACGATCTCTCCCCAAATAAACCTCGTGACAGAAACAACAGAGCTGAGCTTTTGTTCAACATACCTCGAGGATATTTGGGATGATATCTTGTTCACATTGCTTCAGGAAAGAATCCTTGTCAAAAGATGGATCCACCTTCAAGATCTCAGTTAAAACCTCTGACATTTCTGTCTTTGAAAACAGGCCACCTACACAAAAAGGCACGAAAAAAATTGTCTGTTGAAAAAAATAGTAGAATTGCTCCTACTAAATGAAATCATAACAAAACATTCTCATTAGATCTTTACGTCCAATATCTGCATCTCCAAACTATTCATACCTATGATGTCTGTCATCTTGTCAGTGACGGCACGGGAAGCTCTAATGATAACGTTGTCACTCTCATCATACTTCATTTTCATCTCAAAGAACCCTGCAGACAACAATAGGAAAAAAGAGAGGGTTAGATTGGGAGTTGAACACAGGAGAGAAACTGCAAAACATTGCAGAACTTTCCATTTGAATAATCTCAGGCTTGTGTACAGACCTCTTGGGTTATGTTCAACATTAGAAATAAACTCTTTTGGGTGGGAATGTGAGACAAAATCACTGACAAAATACTTGCTTCTGAAAAACTTCAGTGCATTACATACAAATGGACATACTTGCAACTCTTTGTTGAACTGACACCACACAGGATATTTTATCAACAGTCAAACTTGCAGTGGAACTCTGAGCAAAATGTATTGCACAAATATGATAACAGTATAACTATTTTACAAGCTATTCTTGTGATGTTTTGCAAATTATTAGCTCTTTTCCTTGTCAAAATATTACAATTTTCGGCATAATAGAAAAGAATTAAGCTTAAAGAACAACAATTGGGGAAACAATTACAACAGCAAGGACATAGTGAGATAGTTAAGGTGATTATTTCTTACTATTAAAGACCACATTGTTGTCCTTGAAGTCTTTCCATTGCTGGTACCATTTTGAATCTTTGTGCAACACCACACCTGTAGCTTCTCTAAAGAAGACAGAAATGAAAGCTTTAGAACATGCATTCAGCTCAAATACCTTTGTGACACATTTTGAGTCAGAGTGGAAAAAGCAATCACCACATCAAATAAATGAGAAATAGTAATCTAAGCTAAAGAGTTACCCGCCTTTACTCTACAAACTGCCAAGCCTGATAAAAACTCCTAAATGTGTGGAACTTCATATTCCTAACTTTAAGGGGTATTCCTCTCTCTTGGTATCAGAGGACTCAATGGGCACTCACGTACTCGTTGGCTTCGAAGACCTTCCCGTCTTCCCCCGGTCCTTTGGACGAGAACTCTGTCCTCTTTCGGAGTCGGGCTGGAGGTCTGTAAGGTCCCGTTTGGCCAAGGTCACCGATCTCCTTTTTCACACTCTCCACGCTCTAAAACAGGAATAACACCTGTAATACTCACAAGTCTCATTTTCACTATAATTCAAATCAAGGTTGATTTACTTATAGAAAAATAATCAGAAAGAAATGAACATAAAGTCACATGATCTAGGCTTGGGCTCAGTTAAGTGCATACCTGAGATATTGCTCTGAACGCACCCGTCTTCCCCAGCATCTCTCCACTCTTGGAGACCGTTTCTGCAGAAGTCTTTGCTGTTTTTGCTGCTTCCTCCATTCCCTCCTTTATTTTCTTTCCAATTTCTGTACGACTGACCTCTTCCAGCCCCTTAACATCCACACAAATAAGCAAACACATTTCAAGAGTCTACAGCAACCCATGTCAGTCAAAACAGAGGCTACAACATGGTTAGATTTATTTCACATTTACCTCTTTAACGGTCTCAGAAATGGTTCCCAACTTCTTCTTCAGAACCTCTGAGGTCTTCGTCGTTTCTGATTCTATTGTTTTCTTGGAAAAGAAAGTGGAGATGACTAACAGTCAAAAGACACCAGAGGCCAAGATGACACAAGTGGGAGTGATTTTGTTTGGGTAGAGATACTAACATATTTCCTCCGAGCTTGTTTCAGTGCATCTGACTCTTCAAGTTTTTTGGCCTCTTCTCGAAACTTCTTGATGTTTTCTTTCATTTCCTTGTTTTTGTTCAGTTCCTGCTTGAGGTTATCCAAAAACTCCCCCAAGAAACCTTTTCTCCCTCTGCCTTTTTCTCCTGACATATGCCGCATCTGAAGAAGAGGAGGCTGAGGCACAACAAAATAAATTTAAAGTATGTTTAAGGGAATTAAAAAGAAAAAGAAGAAATAATGCTTTAGAGAAATTATACATGCTCCTTAAATGTTTTCACATTTTGTCAAGTTACAACCACAAAAAGTATTTTTTTACAGTTTTCATGAGCTCAACCAACAAAACGTGCTGAGTAGAGAAAATCAAATAAATTTCTATTCTGTTACAAGTAAACTGTGTGTGGCAGCATGTTTGTAGTGGCATAATCCAAGTCCCAAACTAAGTCTTACCTTCAAAACTTAATGTGTTTTATGCTTTTGAATGTAGGTTTTATGACACCAATTCTAACATCATGCTGGGATCTTCATTGTGGCTACACTGTTTAGAGGTATGACATTTCTACTTAAAATATTTTTGAATGACCTCATGTTTATCTGTAAATTCTAACCATCAAAATTACAAGACATAAAGGCTTCAAAGTGTTTTACTCTGTCTGTATCAATATAACACATGACCTTCACGTTCTGAAAAACAAAACTTTACGATATTCAAAAGTTCAAGTCGTATCACTCAAAATGTAGTTTGCACATATCAAGTTTAGTTGCAGAAAACGTCACATGAGGTTCTGGTACCTGTGAGGATCTTGATGGGAGCCCACATATCCTGTAAACATTGGTTCTGTTCGGTAGCAGCAGGTAAGAGGAAGGGAAGGCAACCAAACCTCTTCTTAGACATATCTGAACACAGACATTAAACTTAAGTAAAGTCATAAACTCGGACAAATATGGAGAATATCACCTTTTGAGAAAATGTGAAATAATAAAACAGGATGTTAGGTATGGCATGCGTATGTAGGGACATTTTAATAAATGCAACTCCACGTCCAAATGACAAGATTTTGTCGATAAGAGCTAACACAGCTAGCTTATGCTACATTGAACGGCTGAGTTAAACCAAGCCATGCCGTCCAAAACCTACTATATATACGAAATTATTCAAATATACAATGACCGTTTTGTCATTGTTGTTCTTCAAATCTGGAGTATGAACCGCGTCCCAAGCTCTCACCTGATAACACTGACATAAGGGGGCCGCCATCTTGAATACCCTGCATGTAACCTTCTTCCGGTGGCGACCTTCTACGTCAGCAAAGAGGAACACAGATTCCCTTCTGCTCTTTAAAATAGTAATAATTATATATATATGTATGTAGCTGAATGTCTTGGATTTTTACAATCATTGCACCGTCATCTTATTCTGTTCAGTATCAAAATGGTAATCCTTATTCGCCTGATGTCATTAAGCAAAACGAAGGCAAGATATTTTAATACAACTTGATTTATTTAGCAAAACACCTTACAGATCAAAGGCAATGACAGGTGATGCATAACAGAACAAAAACGAAAAAAAGTAAAAGTTTGGTCGCTAAAATGTAGAACACCGGAATAGCCTAAAACTAAAAACATCCACTGTTACAATTTTCTAACTAAAAGTATCAACTAAAAAAAATTTAAAAAAACAAAACTTTTAATATTTACTAAACCAAGTATACTGAAGGACAAATCTCATGAGCGAGAATGTTTTAGACATTACTGACTAAATCATCTGATGCAACACAGACACACAAATTATGCATTTCTATCAATCCTAACATCGATCTCTCTCCCGTTCAAACGATAGCCGTTCATGGTTCTGCAGGCACGCTCAGCAGTTTCAGGGTTGTCAAAACGGACCACGCCACAGCCCTTGGATTTTCCATTCTCCATCTTGATGTCAGCATACTGGACCATACCTGCAATGACAATGTAGAATATGGTAAAGAGAAAAAAAAAAGAAAAAATAAGTAAAATACAACATGAACAAGACAGAATAGCTGAAACTCTGCTAGTTTTTACACTTTCTGAAAAAGAAAAGGTAATCTTACCACATGTATTAAAGGTGTCCTTCAGCATCTTCCAGGTGAAATCAAATGGCAGCTGAAAAAAAAAAACAATCAATTAAAGTTTAAAACTCAGACACTTAAACACCCTTTAAATTAAGCCGCATCGGAAACCTACATTTCTGACAAAGATCTGGCATCCCTTCCTCATGTTGCCTCCACCACTTCCAGGCCCTCCAGCTCCAGCTCCTCCAAAGGAATTCCCACCAAATCCTCGGTCCATTTCTCCAGAGCGATCAAACTGACCACCAACGCCTCCAGATCCCATTCGGTCCATCCCAGAACTCATGCGGTCAAGGCCTCCGGAGGAGAAACGGTCGAGGCCTCCAGCAGATCCCATGCGATCAAAGCTGCTTCCCATTCTATCGAGCCCAGTGTTGCCCATGCGATCTATACCCATGGAGGAGCCAAAGTCCATGCTGCCTCCCATGCGATCCAGACTAGATGGGCCGAGTCGGTCAAATCCTCCAGGGCCGAGGCGGTCTATGTTTGATGACATGCGGTCCAGGCCTGGTCCGAGCCGGTCCATACTTGGCCCGAGGCGGTCCATCCCAGAGCCCATACGGTCAAAGCCAGATCCCATCCTGTCCAGATCAGTCACACGATCCATTCTGTCCATGCCCATTCCTCCCATGCGATCCAAGCTGCCTCCTAGGCGGTCCATTCCAGAGTTTAGGCGGTCCATGCCGAGGGAATTTCCTGCAGAAATTAACACAAAACAACAACGTTTAATCATCTCAGCACAAGAAAGCACTACAGGGGCTTTGGAACAATCCAGTAAATACTGACCCATTCCTCTTTCAAAGGAGTCTCCAAAATTATTGCGAGACATTCCCATTTCATTTCGCCCAAATTCCCTGTCAAAAGCACCACCAATCCCACGATCCATCTCTGACAATGCAAGAGATGAAACCATTAGAAACATCCGGCAAGACGTGAGGAGTAGCACGCCTGCCTTGGAGTGTTTAGTGAGTCTCAACCCAAACTTACCGTTCATTCTTCCCATGCCTGAAGAACCAAAACGATCCATGTTCATTCCGCCAAAGTTGTCCATTCCTGAAAACATTGATGAAATCGTCTTAATGCCAAATTTGATGATCATGTTCAAGTGAGGAATATTTCATCTCCTGAGGGTCAATTTTAAAAACTTACCTCCTCCCATGCGACCACCCACATTGCTGAATCCCATACCATCCATTCCTGAAGGGGAGAAAAGTGTTTGTAAGAATACAGTTCACTAGACTTACTTAAATGTAAAAAGTAAGTGTCGGTTACCTCCAGGGCCCATGTTCCCCATGCCACCACCACCACCACCTCCACTTCCTCTGTTCAGCATGGTAGCATCGATAGGCTGACCTCCGGGTCCCAGCCCCAAACCAATACCACTGAGTCCACCTAGTTTCAGGGAAAAATTGCAAAACTTTAAATTCCTGTCTGCACAAAAGTGTATTTTTTCAAAAACTACACAAGATTAACTCCCAATCGTACTATATATGAACCGAACTGGGGAAAGCACCTAATTTTCCTGAAGTATCCAACATACATTACTGTGTTTTGCTATTACTTTGGGAAGACTTAATCCACAATATTTTCAGAATTAGCTGGTATAATAAAACCAAACCTAAAAATATCTTGCAAGTATGCTTACGCGGAAGAGAGGATCCTCTATCTGGTTGTCCAAAATCTTTAGGGAGGGATTTCTCATCCTGGAAAAAAGAAAGATGTCAGAAAGTTTAAAATGATGTCCCCTTTTGTAAGAAAATTGATTTAACAATCCAGGCTTTGTAACACACCAGTTTGACATGCATGGTCCTGTTAAATAAGAGCTGCCCATTGAACATAGCTGAGGTATAATTAAGGAAATGCACACAAAATGCCAGGAAACCAAGTTGTAAAAATAAAAATGAGGTATTTAATCTGATAAAGGATACAGACAGCTTGGACTGCTTCAATGGGCATTTCAAACGTCACTGTGCCCATGCCTCTGCTTTTGCCATCCCTGTCCTCCAAAATGTCTGTCCTCAACACGACACCTGCCATGCCGAACACCTCTTTCAGCTTCTTCCATCCCACTTTGTAATCCAGCTGCAACAACAATTGATGAGATCAGTTATAAAATAAAGACTGTGACCTAGTTCTTTCAGTCTGATTCACCAGCTTTTTATTCTGGTCAGGTTGTAGCAGTAAATTAAATAAATAAATCAATCCTTGGAAATTTTATTGTTAAGTTTAGGCTTACTTATAAAATTCCATTCTTCCAAGTATTTGCTGTATTTAAGCTATGCACTTATTTCTTAATATTCAGATTGAATGTTAAATGTAAATACAATAGCATGTCTAAAACTCTTGAAAACTCACATTGGCCACAAAAATGGTGCTTCCAATCCTGCCAGTCTGAAGACCATGAATGACTTCATTGGGAATGTTGGGGTTGTTCAAAAGGCTGGGAGGAATGCTGACCAGGGGACCTCCTGGTCCGGGCCCCATGCGATCCATGCCCCCCATACGATCCATCCCTCCCATGCGATCCATCCCTCCCATGCGATCCATGCCCCCCATGCGATCCATCCCTCCCATGCGATCCATGCCCCCCATTCCTCCCATGCCTCCTGGGTGACCTCCAGCTTGTTGGGACTTGCCAATTTCTCTCTGAGCAATGACACCATCAGGATCCTAAGAGAGAAAAAGTTTAAACACCACTCAAGCTTTTTGAACATCCAAAATGTGTCTCTCCGTTCTTCCCGGCAGTCTACCTCCTTCACTTTAAGGGGCCGCCCGTTGAGGTTGTGCTTGTTGACACTTTCCACTGCTTTCTTCATAAGTTCTTCTGTTCTGAACTCAACAACACTGAACAAAACATTCAAAATCAGAAATGCAGGGTCCTACTTTCCTATATACACAGAAGGTAATTATGAAGAAATGTGTACTTACGCGCAACCCTTTTGATTGAAGTCATCAGAACAGGCAATATAAATACAAAAAAAAATTAATTAGAAATGATAATATTTATCTGGTTATTTAACTGACATGTAGAAAATGGAAATGACATGCACAAGAAAGAGTGAAACACACAAAAGTCTTCACAAAGCCTATGTAAATTAGATTGACAAATATTCCCAAACCAGTCAGTGACCAAGCAGGAATAGTGAAAATTCAATTTCTCATCTCAAACCATCCAAAGGGAAGAAACTCCACAATACGATAGGTTTCCACTCCATTAAGATATTTTAAAAAGGTGTCTTTTCCAATTACATTTAACAAAAACATCAAACAGCTTTGTAACAACATCTTGCCAAGTAAACCCCTTAAGTCGTAAGGAACAAATCCAGCAACCAAAAGGGAAATTATTCAATCCAGTGGATTGGAAGCAAGTAATGCTGATGTCCTGTTGTAAAACCATCAACTGTTCAGGATGGCCTCAAATCAGTGGCACAGACGACACCACCAAAGACACGCCTCCAGCACGTTACCATCTCAAGAACTCCACCAGGTTTCTATTTCTGAACAATTCCCAGCAATAACTAATGAAACCAAGGCTGACAAACACATGTTTGTCTAGGTTTAATCATGTATTTTGATTGTATGTATTTGCACTTACCCTCGATTTGCCTTCTGCGTCCATTAAGTGTTCCACGTACGTTACCTCACCCACTACAAATCAGATTCCAGAGACGACACACACCAAGGGGAGAGAAGCCGAGAGAACAATGGGGGTTTAGAGCAGAAACAAGGAGGAAGGCCGATGAGCTCTGACTGCTAGAGTCTTGAGCTGTCCCCCAGCACCTCAGCAGCACAATATGGTACAGGTCTACAAAAAACAAGCTTGGATCTTTAAAAAAAAAAAAACATGTAATAAGACTTCTTAGTCTGTCCTTGTAAGAATTCTCCAGAAACAACAAAAGCAGTAGATTGAAGAAACCAACTGTTGAAATGACCAATAAATAGCCTTCAGATTTGGCTAAAACAGTGAAGACCACCTTCTCCATGCAGTTTACTGACCATACAATTTCAAGTTAGAAAAATCCCATACAAAACCTCTGCCTAATTCAGGACACACCTAGTGATACTTAGTCAAATGTTGCCATTTTGTCCCTCACCCTAACACAATGAAACCTTCCCATCAGATCTGCAGCTACAAAAATAACCGTGTTCTTGAAGACAACAAATTCTTGAGCAAAGGATACTTCTTTAACTACGAACCTGTTCCAATAGTGCTGATTTGCAAAAAAAATATAAATAAATAATAATAAAAAAGGAACTAAATTTTAAAAATATTTTTAATTCAATGGCAACCACTGTCAATGTTCCAGGTCACATGGCTGTTCACCAAATGGACATCAGTGACCTAAGCTTTCAAAACAAGGACAGTACAAAAAGAAGCTGCTTTGTTTTGTAGACCTGTACCCCACAGAAATCCCCAGCAAAGAGCTGTGTGTGGCACAACATGGAGATCTGCTGAGAAAACATTTGCTTGTCAAGGTCACACCTAAAAAAGAAAATGCAATTTAACTCAACAGTTGACAGAAACGAACACTTGGCCGGCCTTCTCCAAAAAGACTGTTCCGTTTATAAACACATTCTTTAACTTAGCAGTTCATTGCATGGCTAATGACATGTGGTCAATTCCGATATCCCATAACTATTCAACTCTTCATGCAAATGGAAGATAATGTGATCTTTGCAGAAATCAAAATGTCTGCACAAAGCTATTTTATAACTGGACGTGTTTCCAACAAATTTTACAGAATTTCAACATATACAGGTGGTTAGATACTCCAACTGAAAAGACAATATTTTTGTCACTTGTTAGAGTAAACCTCATTATGCCATTCAAGATCCCAAGCCAAGGGATTTTCACATTAGTCAACTTGCTTGAATAACAACCTCCATTTCACAAACACCTCAGAGGTTACAATAACCTCAATGGCGACTCCATGTTCAATCCAGGTACACAGCACTTGTACAAAATGGAAGCAACTCCTTAGATTGTGGTGATGTTCCAGAAAAACTCTCAACAACCTGAAGAACCACTCCGACAAGGCCTTCAGAAGTGATATGGTCAAACAAAATAACCCTGGATGCAGATGCCTGAAAAACACACACTTAAATGTCTCTTACCAAAAAACCTTACCTTTCTCTTTCATCAGGTCTTTGAGGGCTTGCCATTTCACATCGTAGGGGATGTTACTGACAAACACTCTGTATCTTTTCACGTTGCCATAGGGATCATAGCGACCACCTCCACCTCTCTTAGGGGGTCTCTCCTTCCTGCTGGAACTAGATTCATTCTTGGGTTTCCCATTAATTCCCCTGAAGCACAAAAGTTAAACGACAATTAAATCTCAAAAGCTAATTTTAAGCAATATTTATGGAAAACAAAAACAAAACACTGGCGATGCAAATACAACTACTTCTAATCATACAATGCATTCTCAGAAAAAAAACCCCCACCAACATTCATTTCATCCTCAAAAAGGTCGGCAGGACTAATGTTTGGCCACATGGCAAGTCACCTAAATATCGACCTAAAATGGCAATAGAACAAATAAAACAGACCCGGCGCCATACAGAAAAAATACTATCCATCTTCTTTCCCAAGAAACATGAATTTATGATCCACACTACCAAGTATCTACACCAACAGTCTGATTTAAGCAATCGACTTAGTTGGCGCCAGTAAATAGACGGATCCCAGGCCAAGCCCTATTTGGTGATTTAAATCAAACAGCAAAGATAAAACGCATGCACCTCTTCGAGTTACGAACTATATCCTATACTACATTTTTAAAAATATTTTCTAATATTCTTGGACTGAACATAAATGATAGTACGTCAGCTTGTACAGAACTAGAACCGCTAGGCCCAACTAGCTAGCTACAACAAAGAAAACGACAATGAATGGACTCACTCCTGCTGCGGCAACTCGATAGTAGCCTCGATGTTGTTGTCTCCCTGCTCGCCCGACATTTTGTTGAGCTGATGAAAGTGGAAAGAAACCTGAAATTACTATTGCAGATCAGAAAGGTATTACCAGATCGACTTAGTGTAATAGCACAGATCGCTCTTAGGTATTACGAAAATGGCGGAGCAGAAACTGGGGGGCCAGTTTTAAATCTTTCGCAACTGCTTCCGGTAAGTTGGGAGCTGCTGCTATCAAACGGGATTTCAAAATAAGAGCACCGCCAAATTTTAACCCAAACCTTTCAAATATGAATTATTTGTTGCAATTGTGTCATTATTTTATTATGGCTATAATGAGATTTTTAAAAACTAAATTCCAAAGTTTTTTGATGCAAATAAAAATATAATACTTCCAAAAAACATGAAACAGAGCAAAATATTAAAAAATTATAATTTTCTAGTTGGATCAGTTAAGAAACTTTTTAATCTTGTTGGTAATAGGACCTAATGTGTATATATTTTTAAAAAATCCTTAAGTGTTTTTTATATATCAGTAACTATGTATGCTAATCATTAACAAAATATTCTTGTTGAACAGTTATCTACTCAAAGTTTAACGAGAGTTATTATTTATGTATTTATATAGATATACTTGTAAATTTATGCTTGTAAAAATTTATTCGAAAAAGATCTGCCTGAATGATAAATTAGGGACAGTAAGAATAACTGAAATAACTTTCATCTCAACCCCGGAATAATAAAATATTTACAGAATATGCAAATAAATTATGACAATCAATACACACCAAAAACGAAAGATTTTTTTTTTTAGAAAAGTACAGCATCCCCAGATTGATAACATATTTGCACAAGTTCAACCTTGTCCTTCCAAAAAATATTATATTTATACAAGAAAGAAATATTTTTGCCTTTTTAAAATACATTTATAATTCATATGTTTTTATTGAGCGCAAAGTCCGAACAAACTCAAATTCCTTGTGTGCAAAACTTGAATAATACTGATTGATCTTAGTGGGTCTCAATTAATTGATTGCTCCTTCTCAGCCAAGTTCTACTGTTTCTTTTCAGTGTATGCATGTTCACATGCTCACAGGCTGAAAGATTCTTGAAAAGGCAAGCAGTCGACTGGGTTTCTATCTACACATATGTTTTGTCAGTCGACATAAACTGAATATGACTGTTTTTAAAACTCAGTATGAATTGTACCTGTCTTGTGAAATGATTTTAAAACTCCTCAGGATTCAAACAAATTGTGACATTCAGTTTCTACAGCACTTGTGCAATAACATGATTTAACTGGGGTTTGGGCAGAATGTAATATATTGTATCGTAAAATTGTCAGTTATAATTTGATTCTATTTAAATATGAAGCATCTCTTACATTACTACAGGCTCAAGCAGTTACCAGTGCACCATGGTGTAATTTGAATTTAGAAATCATTGAAGGCAACTTGTTGGAGGCCTTAGGAAAACATTTTCAGCCATGAATTTTGTCAGGCTTTTCAACACAATGCCACAACACCGACACCAAAGTTTAAAAAGAGTGTCTCTAAGACATGAAATGGTATGTCAGAACAACTGTCTTCATCTGCAGATTTCCTGATTAAGTGAGTGCCTATGATGAATGACCATTAGGTGAGACATCATACAGTTCATCTGCATATTATACTAGTATAATCTACATATAGATTAAGAAAATTTATTCCGTTTGGAATATTCCAAAACGGATTCACTTTAATAAAAAAAAGAGTAACTGAGTTCAGAAAGCAGCAAAAGTGACCCCCCAAAAAATGCTAACTTATTGCTCCTCCACACCACAGGGAGGCGACGGTGAATTCTTCTCGGTGTAGTCAGAATGGAATGATCGGCGTCGATGTTTAGCTAGCTACCGCTCTGCCTTTAACAACAAAACATTTTGTTTGTTTGTTTTTGTAAATATTTTACGCGTATCTCCTAAGCCAAAATAGCTACAATACTAAAAAATATACAAGCATATTCAGGTATTTGGAGTAATTTGAGACAAAAGCTTGAGAAATACATCCGTTAGCCTTTAGCTTTGATGGCATCTGTTGTACTGTTCCGTTCAGAGAATGAATGAGCGCCTGTAGGTTCGTGAGCGGTAATTCTGTTTGACAGACTGAAAAAAGCTTTTATAAACAGCATAAGAAACATATAATTACTATGGCTACCGGTGCTGATGTTCGGGATATTCTGGAGCTTGGCGGAACGGACAACGATGGTCCCATCAGTAAGAAAGATCTCATCAACTCGGATAAGGTGAGAGAAAGTTTAACAGTTACTGATTTGTTCGAGCGCAGATATATCTTGGTAAATTAGAATGACACAATATGATTTATTTCTGTTAAGTTGGATGTTTAGGGCCTACAGTTATGAAAACCGAATGTCATTGAAAGTTAGACTATCTTGACCAATACGAACTATTTTTAAAACAGACATTTTGTGCTATAGTCATGAAGAAGACAGTTGTTGACACCCTCCACAAAGAGGGTGAGATACTAAAGCGCCACTGATACAGAGCGGACTGAAAGCATATCAATAAAAAGTTGAGTGAAAGAAAAAAGTGTGACTGCAAAATGTGTATTAACATATGGGATAACCACAGCCTTAACATGATGGTAAGGTTTGGTATTATCATATACTGGGGGTATGTAACGCCATTATAATTCAGATGTATTTTTTTTCCCCTTTACTCGCTGCAGAAAAAATCCAAGAAAGCAACTGAGACGCTGACTTTCAAGAGACCAGAGGGAATGCACAGAGAGGTTTATGCTCTTCTCTATTCAGATAAGAAGTATGCATTTCTTTCCAAACATACATTTATGTGTTTTTTTTGTTGTTCCTCTAATTCACTTTATATTTCTACAAAATGTTTTCCTGTTATAGAAGCATATGTCCTTGGTTTAATTCCTAGGTTTGACATGAAGTAAATGGTTTAGAGGCTTTTACTACATATCATCTCCTTCTCTCTCAGACCTGTCTCCTGTTTAGCTACTAATGAATAAATGCCACTAGTGCAAAAAAAGCAGGAAAAAAAGGAGAAGAAAAAAAAACCCATTGTTTTTGTCATTTATTTACCTATAGAGACGCACCGCCTCTGCTGCCTAGTGATACCACTCAAGGTTATCGGACCGTCAAGGCCAAGCTTGGATGTAAAAAAGTTCGTCCCTGGAAATGGATGCCTTTCACCAATCCAGCTCGCAAAGATGGGGCTATTTTCCACCACTGGAGACGGATGGCAGAGGAGGGAAAGGACTACCCTTTTGCTCGCTTTAACAAGGTAAGCTCCGCTTGTCCCTTTACAGATGTTCAAGATAAAGACAAAAAATATTTTAAAGTATTCTTCCAATTCTTTTTTTATGATGTTTCCGTTTTCTTATTTGCATGTGCAGACAGTCCAAGTGCCAGTGTATTCAGAGCAAGAATATCAAATGCATCTCCATGACGATGGCTGGACCAAGGGAGAGACAGACCACCTCTTTGACCTGTGCAAGCGCTTTGACCTGCGCTTTGTAGTTATCCACGACCGCTATGACTACCAACAATACAGAGTAAAGTTCCCAGAACTGGTGTTTACTGTTTATGAGAAAAATCCCAACTCTGAGACATTTGCATTTGGAATAATTTTTCTGAATTTGTGCATCTTTAGAAACGCTCCATAGAGGACCTGAAAGAACGATATTATAACATTTGCGGTAAGCTGACCAAGGTCCGTGCAGCCTCTGGGACCGAACCCAAAATCTACATCTTTGATGCTGGCCATGAAAGGCGCCGCAAAGAGCAGCTGGAGAAGCTCTTTAATCGCACACCTGAGCAAGTTAGTGATATTTTTACCTTCAATATTCCTAAAATCTGATGAAATGTGCTAAATATAAACTATAATTTTTGTAGTTAAATCTCAATAAAGTGTAGCAATGTTGACAAGTCAATTTCAATAAGTGAAAAGTTACGCACATTTTTCTGTCTCTAATCTTTTTTTCATTTAACTTTAAATTGAAACACACAGCACTCTGAAAAACCAGCTTGTTTAACAATGGTAGAAATGACCTCCTGTGACCCTTTGTGGACTATGTCCATGGGAATCGGCTGGAATACTATAGTTTGGGCCTCAACATGACACTTCTATATTTAATTGTTATTATGAGTTCAGTGTAATAAGATTTAGTTTTCAAGCCAAAATCATCCAAATTAACAAAAATAAAAACTCAAACCATATCACTCAGTTTAATGAATCTATATAATAAACATGTTTATTAATTCACTTGTAAATTGATTTAAGGTAAAAGCAGAAATATATCAATGACTTTCAAATTGATTAAAACACACTTGAACTGTTTATGAAAACTGATTATGTGCCTTCTGTGCCCATTTAATAAGAAAAATACACCTCTCTTGTTTGTCCTCTAGGTGGCAGAAGAAGAGTATCTTATTCAGGAGCTGCGGAAGATCGAGAATAGGAAGAAGGAGCGTGAGAAGAAGGCTCAGGATCTGCAGAAACTCATCAAAGCAGCTGACACGACTACAGAGCTGAGGCGAGCTGAAAAGAGAGTCTCTAAGAAGAAGCTCCCTCAAAAAAGAGACACAGAAAAACCAGTAAGCAAAGGAACTCCACAAAAAGTTTAAAAAAACCTCATTTGAATAATTGATATTTAGAAGATCTAAATCAGTTTTATTTTGTGATGTTTTTTTCAGCAGTTGTCACTCAAATAACCTTAAAGTGTCATTTTCGTGTCACCAAAGTAATAAATTACTCCGATTTGTCCCATCATATTTATTTGATTGTCTTTGATAGCAATCCAAAAGTTGAAAATAAAATAAAATCCTGTAATTTTTTTTCTCCAGGCTGTTCCAGAGACAGCTGGCATCAAGTTTCCTGACTTCAAGTCCGCCGGTGTCACTCTGCGCAGTCAGAGGGTGAGTGTCGCTTCTTCCTCCTGCATAAATAACCCAGTTGGGAGTCAAAACCTCCAATGAAATAGAAATCAGTCTTGAAACTGCTCTAGTCAGGAATAAATTATCACACAGCTTTCTTTTTAAAGCCATGAAAAACTTTTTAGAAAAAGCACTAGTTTTTTTTTTTCAACCAGAAGCCTGGTGGGTTGGTGCTAAATTTGATGTATGAAAGTAACATGAGTTCCAAACTTATCTTTTATTATCACTGTGATGATTAAATC